TACTACGACTGCTACGACTACCACTACCACTACTACTACAACTACTACTACTAGTACTACTACTACTACTACCACTACTACTACTACTACTACTACTACTACTACTACTACGACGACTACTACTACTACTACTACTACTACTACTATCACGACTACGACTACGACTACGACTACGACTACGACCACGACTACGACTACGACTACGACTACGACTACGACTACGACTACGACTACGACTACGATTACGACTACTACGACGACGACGACTACTACTACTGGTACTACTACTACTACTACTACTACTACTACTACTACTACTACTACTACTTCTACTACAACTACAACTACTACTACTACTACTACTACTACTACTACTACTACTACTACTACTACTACTACTACTACCACTACCACTACCACTACCACTACCACTACCACTACCACTACCACTACCACTACCACTATCACTACCACTACCACTACCACTACTACAACTACTATCATGCATACACCCGGAACGGTTGCTGACGGTCCTGGGGCATGTCGAGGGCTACCCGATGCCGAAAACCACGAAAACCCACTGTCATAATTTATCCGACGCGTTGGAGGCGTGGGTTCTTCTCCTCCCCTCTCGCCCCCCCCAGAGGGGGCCAGGGATCCCACATACTCCCCAGACTTCTCCCAGAATGCGCTCTGACCAGAAAATCGAAGAGAACCCAGCCGTGGCGACGAGGGATCTCCAGGACGAGCAGCGATACCGGTGGTATCTTTTCCTCCCTTGACTTCTGCTCCAGCCACTCCTCCTCCCCCCCCCCTCGCCTCCACCTCCAATGGGTTCGAAGGATTTCACGCAAACTCGCGGCACCACCGCCGCCGCGCGGGCGGGTCTGGCCAGGCCCCCGGCGCTGAGGGTGCGGAGCCCCGCGACGCCAGCGCCTCGGGGACAGGAGGAGAAGGAGAAGGAGGAGGAGGAGGAGAAGGAGGAGGAGGAGGAGGGCGGGGGGTGATTATGAGGTTGGCGAGAAAGAGAAAGAGAGAGAAAGAGAAGAAGAGAGAGACAACGACCACGGCCGCCACCCAAGATGGCCCAAACCACTGCGTCCCCACTGGGCACCCCTGGATAGGCCCCATCATCGCCTGCCTCGGCGGGGGAGGGTTCCTCGGGTGTGACTGGGGCCCTTCCCACGGAGTGCCCTACGGGAAGTCGGCGAGGCCCTTGCGCCATCCAACTTGGTGAGCGCGGCTACGCCGTACTCTTCCCGCTTGTGCCACACCGCCACGCCTCAACCCTTGCTTACCCATTCACGTCGCCGGCCGCCGTTTCTCCACCACGTGCCCTCCTCCTTCCCCCTCCTCAAGGTCATGGTGGGGTCCGGGCTTCCCATCCTCGTCATTATTCTCCTGGACGTGCTGTCTACCTGTCTGTCACCTTGATCCCTGGTCAGCGACTCTGGGGGCGACCGCCCCTGCAGTCGCCTGGCTCACTCGCCAGCGATAACATTCGCCAGACGATTCGTTTGTTCATCCCCCCCAGGGCTGACCACGCCTGGGGGGGAGGGCTACGTCAGGACGACATTTCTGCCATCTGTGGGTCAGTGGGTCAGGATGATGATGATGATGATGATGATGATGATGATGATGATGATGATGATGATGATGATGATAATGATGATGCTGATGATGAGGAGGAGGAGGAGGAGGACGAGGAGGCTGACCTGGAGGTGCAGGTGAAGGAGGAGGAGGAGGAGGAAGAGCGGAGGAGAAGGGGGGAGAAAGAGAAGGAGGAGGGGGAGGACCAGAGGAAGGCAAACGCCATCGTTCTTTTCCTGTTCATTCCACTGTTCCTCCTCCTCCTCCTCCTCCTCCTCCTCCTCCTCGTCATCATCTTCCTCCTCCTCCTCCTCCTTATCACCATCATTATCAGCATCATCATCATCCTACTCCTCCCCCTCTTCCTCCTCCTCCTCCTCCTCCTCCTCCTGAATCGTACTGTAGGCGTTGTCTTCAGCACCATGTTGTGGGGAAGCCCGAGTCGACCATCCCAGGCTCTCTGAGGTGCGAGCTGAAGACCAAAGCAACCGAGCCGAGAGAGGGACGACGGGGTCGCCCCCGGGCGGCCTCCGGAGCCCTGGGCTGTGGCACTGCAGGTGGAAAGATTGCCCGGAAGATGGAACCTTGTCATTTCTCATAGCGATGTGAGCGGACAACGGTCGGGGCTTCATCAACGGGGGCAAAGCGACACAATGGCTTAGGCTTTTCCATATGCCCCCGTGTACTATGCCCCTGTCTATGGCACCCAAGGCCCCCTAAACGGGGGCATAGCGGGCATAGCCAAACGTGGAAATCGGCGTTCCCCGTGCTCCCGTCGGCTGTGGCCCCGTCTCCGGCGCCCTGAGACGAAGCGTCAAAGGACTTGCCGGGAGAGGCTAGAGAAGCGGAGGGCGGCTGCGGAGGAGTGCACGCTCGGGGCAAGCTGGAAGTACACAAGGCTGGATTCACACGTGGAGCGAAGAGCTGGCGTGCACGGCCACAGGAGGGCAGGAGAGCCCAGAATCGAACCGATAAGTCGGATCGGCGATCGAAATGAATCGGATCGGCTGAAATCGGCAGCCAAGTCGGGAAAAGTCGAATCGGCGGACATCGGCAGGCTGGTATGCCTCTAATCAGACATCGGAACCCACATCGGAACCAACGTCGGAATCCCGAGTCGAATCGAATCGGAATCGGAGACCATCGAAATCGAATCGAATCGAATCGGAGGCATCGCAACGAGGCCTGGGAGGGTCGAGCGCTGGAAAAACATCTGGCTACATGAGTATCCAGTTCTCGCCCAGGCCGGCCGCGTCCTGTGCATCCAGTCCCACCAGCCCTTTGGGCGTGAGTGGTTTAGAGAGCCCGCTCTGTTCTCACCCCCCCTTCTTCCCCTTCGGGGAGGGGTTTACCCCTCCCCCTACCCCCTCCCCCTGGGCCTGGAGAGGTCCCTCCGCGGGTCGCCGGAGGGGTCTTTTTCGACTCCTCGGAGGGCTAAAAAACGACACCCCTCACGAGGATTCTGGCCCCGACGGGGGGAGGGAGAAAAGTGCTCCCCCCATCTGTGATCGATCGCCCGACAGATGGCCCCAAGATTCCTCCCAGACCCCTCCAAGAGGCCTCCAAGAGGCCTCCAAGAGCCCCCAAGAGGCCTCCAAGAGGCCCCCAAGATGCTCCCAATTCCTCCAAGATGGCCCCAAGAAGCGCCCAGGAGGCACCAAGAGGCCCCAAGATGGCCCCAAGAGGCCCCCAGGAGGCCCCCAAGAGGATCCCAAACGGCCCAAAGAGGCCCCCCCGAGGCACCCAAGACGCCGAAAAGTCCATCAGGACGACCCTCTACTCGCCTGGGCGTCGTTTCTGGACGGGCAGGAGGAGGGGCCCGAACGACTCACACCAGGACGAGGGGCCCGAACAACTCACACCACGAGAAGCCCGACCGACTCACACCAGGACGAAGAGCCCGAACGACTCACACCACGAAGAGCCCGAACGACTCACACCAGGAAGAAGGGCCCGAACGACTCACACCAGGACGAGAAGCCCGAACGACTCAAACCACGAGGAGCGCTTTCTCTCCCTCCTCCTCCGCCTCGTCCTTCTCCCGCTCCCACCACAAGGAGGATATACAAGGAGGCGGGAGGAAGGAGGAAGAGGGGAGATATGCGGGGGTAAGCGGACACACGCCTGAAAAACACGACTGTCGGCATGTTTCGCCAGAGTTGCTGTTGTGAGATGGGCTGGTGGGGATACGCGAAGCGTAAAAAAAATCCTGGCAGCACTGGCGGCGGTACCTCTGGCGCTGGCACTGCTGCAGGGCAGCCTGCGGCTTGGGGCGCCGAATTCGTTCCTGTCGCCATGGCCGCCAGGGGCCCTGAGTCGTCTGACCAGACACGACGATTGCTTGCCGATCCCTGCTCCCAACGAGGTTGCGAAAGGGCAGCAAAAGTTTGCACGTCGCTCCATCGCTCGGTTTCGCGCAGCTCTAGCTGTGTTAACTTTTGATTGGTCTTCGCCCAATGATGTCTACAGAAGACCCTCGAGCAGATCAGAACAAACAAACTGTGACACATAGAATCCAAATTTCACTGCAAGAGTGATGGATTAGAGATGGTAACTTAATATGCACGCAACCCACACACACATCAGAAGCTGAGATCGAGACCAGGAGCAGGGATGCACGCAAGAGTGGGAGTTCTCAACATTGTCGGGGAGTTCGATCCGTCTCGCTGTTAGGCGAATCCTGCCACCGTAGGCCTGGCACGCCAAGCAACACATCGAAACGACAAGGCCTCGTAAGACAAGCGCTCGGGGTCTCTCAGCTCGAACCTCACTCACCCCCCTTCCCCATCAACGTTTTCAGCTCCCCTCGCTCCGACATGCTTCGATGATCATGTCAAACCCTCCGCGCCTTTCAAGAATACGTCCAAGGTCATGTCAGCTGGGTGCTCCATGGCCACACTAGCCTCGGCTGACTTGGAGCTGACAGCGCTGCAAGCAGTGGTGAATCGCGCGCAAGACTATCAGCGAAGTTGGCACGCCGCCTGTCTGATTCCAGAAGACTCGCCCTCTTCCGCCTCGCTTCCGCTCTCTCATGCCCGCTCTGCCCGCAACCGCTATCTCTCAAACAGGGCCCTTGGCCTTAGAGCTACGCCAGTTGTTCGAGCCGCGCTCACAGCAAAAGCATCCCTGGCGCTGCGCGCCGATCCATATCACAGTGGTAGCTTGGAGCGAGGCTCGCTATCCCAGCCCGCGGGGCCGTACATATCGAAGACGGCGTCGGCGACAAGTCTATCCATATTGGAATCGAAGCCCAGCGGCTTCTTCGCGCTGTTGCTCAGCGCCTACGCCAGCGCCAGCGACGCCAGCATCAACGCCTACTACGCCTACCCTGCCAACTCCTACGCCAGCGTCAGCGACGCCAGCACTCACGCCTACTACGCCTTCAACGCCAACTCCCACGCCAGCGTCAGCGACGCCAGCACTCACGCCCACAGCGCCTACACCCAGAACTTTAGCGACGCCGCCAAGCTCGATTTCTCGCACCCTCAGAACTTTAGCGACGCCGCCGGGATCGATTTCTATTACCCTCAGAACATCAGCGACGCCGCCGAGTTCGATTTCCTTTACTCCCAGGACTTCAGCGAAGCCACAGAGTTCGATTTCCTTTACTCAGATTTCCACGTCTACCCCTTCGCAAAGATCACTGACATTTCTCACAATTTCGGGACCCACATGGAACGGAGATCCGTCGAAGTGGAGAGGCTACACGCAGGAGGTGAAGCTGTGGAAGCTCAGCATAAACCTCTCAGTTACGCAGAGTCTCGCGTCGAAGCTCGTGCTAAGGCTCAGCGGGACAGCGAGAAGCGCAGCATTGAATATGACGGAGGACAGCTGCATCCGGCAGCTGCAGCAGACATCGAGGACGCCGACGAGAAGAAGCGCAACAGGAATCAGGTCGGCATCGAGAATGTTCCACAGCATTTGGACGCGAACATGGGTCAGAAGATGCCCGCGCAGAAGGGGGAGACCCTCGAGAAGTTTTTCGAATCTACCCAGCATCACCGACGGCGTGGTGAGTCTGAAATGACTCTGGCAGGTCATATAGCATCCAATTCCATGTCGAAGGAATACGATATGGGGAGTGGATGGATAGGATAGGATAAAATCGATGCAATGATCTTTCCAGCACATAGCGAACACTGAGGTAAGTGTCCGGGCAAATAGGGCGCGCGTGCCTTGAGCCAAGACAGCGGCGCGCAGGCTATACTCCCGATCCTCTATAACATCTCCCAAAGAGCTACCCTTAAAGTCGGGAGGGGAGGAGACGGAGAGTAAAGCCGCGCAGCCGCTAGGCTCTAGAAAGGCCGCGCGCGCAACTGTTTGCAAGAAAACAGTACGCGCAGTCTGGTCTACCACCAGACTGAAGGGCGAGATTATTCGCCGGCGAGCTTCCTCGCATAACTTTTCCACGCACACACAGGATAGCCCCTTGGATTCACAAGGGCTATCGGCCTGGCTAGAGGTAAGCCAAACAGGCGATTCCCCTCCAGGCAAAAGGGCATTGAGGCAAAGAGCCTGAACCAATCTGAACAGGCTCGTTGCCAAGCGTGAAAAATACGGCTCGTTTCCGAGCAGATAAGAGGGCGCCTGCGTTAGGCGCCCGCGCTGGCAAACTGGACCGCGGGGGCAACAAGGACAGACTCAAACGGATTCGGCTTAGGTTTGTGTTTGTCCTCGGTGCCCCGAAAGGAAACAAACTGCTTCACGTCATACTTAAATGACTGAGTGCCTGACATCACTTCCAAGAGCAGCTCCCGATCGATACTCCCCTTTGTATGCCCATCTGCGGTCATGTCTCTAGTGTCACACCACTGTACGTTATGCACGATACCAATATCCATGAACTCACGCATCCAGCTATTATGGCCCAGCAAAGTACGTTCCGTCGGTATCTTAAGGTCTTTGCTGGATAACGATTTGTATACAGACTCAGCGTCTATAGTAAGGGATACTTTGATAGCTAGGCCTCCAACTTCACGCATATCTCGTAGTTGTCGTGGAGTAAGTGCTCCGGCCTTGAGCTCGTGGAGAGCGATGAGCGTGGGATAACACTCATCAAGATTACGTGCAGCTGCAAGTGCTTCAGCGGCATAGCTGGACCTCACCTGCAGTCGGTGTGACTTGCATAGTCCGTCGCAAAGGTGAACGACGGATTTGCCTTGAGGCGAGTTTCCTCGCCGTGATACGTTAGCCCCACGAATGCCGCAGCCCTTGGTTTCATCGTCCTCCTCCCCGGTGAGTTTCCGATACCCCGAATCACTGCGCACGTCAACTTCATTCGTCCGTTTCATCCGAGGGAAGGTGATGCGTTTCGGGCTGCTGATCAGCTTTCGCGTCACAGCATTCAGTCGCCTGACTTGTAAGTCGGCGGGCTCTTGGATCTTCTAGAGAGAGACCACCTACACCATAAGCCAGACTTGAGTAAGGAGGGCATAGGCGAGAGCTCCTCGCAGGCTAACGAACATGTCGGTGATCAGTTTGGTAGCTTTGGCGTCTGCCGCTGCTCCCGTAAGCTCAGGGTGTGTGATAGGACGTAGTTGTTTAATGTACTCGTCCTGGTCCATGATCACATCCCCATGTTCATTCTTCGTGTAGCGAACGGCGCAGTTCGTGTGAGAATGTTTGTTGAGCTTGCATTGACCAAACACCTCTTCGACACGTTGAACGTAGTCATCTACGATTTTCTCTAGGCCTGTCATATTGATGTCATCGACATGTTTTGCCGTTAACATATCCTGACTGAATTCAAAGTCCGGATCGTAACTTGTCGGTATGAGGCCTATAGCTCGTGTAGTCGTACGAAGCTTGAGAGAGAACGCTCTTGGGGCGTCCTTCGCACCCGTTCCTGGCTTGAGGCCCCTGAGGCAGCGTCGGCTTTCATCGTAAGAAGAGAAGCCTGGTAGTGCACGAAGCACCAGGGCACTTCCTGGTGGAAGGGTGAAGCATACCATGCGAGTTTCCTCGCCGGTGGCATGAGCAAGTTCCTCATATGTCAGTCCTTCGAGGAACGCTTTGTCGATGTCCATGGATGCTAAGATCCATTCTGGACGACATGCCGCCTCAGTTGCCAGAAGCCTCCGGGACTGTCTGCGGGCAATTCCTGAGAAGTTTTCTACATCGAAAGCCTCCGTGTCCATGAATCCGCGGAGGACAAGTCTCAAGCGGATGGTTTTAACATTCTCGGTGTCTACTGTCACAAACTTCCACTTGTATACATATCTGGATGTCATGATGTTGGAAGCTTTTGCTAGGTCATACATCTCAAAACGCCAGATCTTCAGTTCGGTGTACAAGGCTTCACGGACCTCTTTAGGATGTGCTGCTATATCGGCTTTGGCGAGTAGGTCGTCTTCCTTGACTACCACAGCACGTTTAGCAGCCGTTGATACATATACTCTCATCGCTGCGACCATGTCTGTTTCAAGCTGTGCAAGTTGAGTCTGAACCAACACTACCTTTGACATTTCTGGCGTGAAACATAGCTCAACATAGGGACTATATTCATCACTGTCAAGAGAATAGCCCTCGTCAGGGGTAGTCGAGCATAAAGAGACAAGACAGGGCTCTCGTGGTTCAGGCTCGTCTCCGAGCATCTCCGACACAACGGTATCTTCCTCGTCCACAGATGCTGAGACCAAAACACATTGGTCGGGCAGCATGGTTGTTGGGACGCAGTAGAGATAGTCGTCAATAACCGTTGTGGGATGAAGGTCCATACGTAGCTGCGTACCACTCCTCCATCATCATAGCCTCGATGTCGTGTTCCTCGCTTTCTGCGTAGATTGTAGACAGGCGACCTTCACTTGGCGATGAAACACCTGGGGTGTCTGGAGGAGGCCTGTCTCCAGGCTGGTCGTGTTCTCCAGACACTGTACCCAAGTGCTGATACTTGGCAAGGTCGTCATGAAATCCAGGAACTTGTGACGTCAGGCACTGGATGAGTCTGGAGTGAGTGCTACCAGTGATCCGAGAGATGTTCAGGCCGGTGCCTACACACTCATAATAGTGGAAGGCTGGGTTAACATCGTTCTTCAGCCAATGCTCTAGTAAATACAATGGGGATGTTGTGTCTGTTCAGCTCTTCCTCAATCATATGGAGAGTGCCCCTAAGAATGCCGTTGCGTGACTCGATCGAGATCGCGCGCTGGCCAGGCGCACGGATACGAAGTGTCGTACCTTTGTTCGCCATCATGGCCTTGGCAGTTTCATTATTGAGGGCACCTTCCCCATCTGAATACAAGACTATGAAGGGTCCATGCTAGGCGATCCAGCAGTAGTGGTAAGCGTCGAGTATAGTGTCACGTTCTCTACCACAAATTTCTTGGCCTGCTGCCAGGCGGATACATCGGTCCATGATATGAGATATGGTCCGTTTCTTGTAGAACATGAGATCTACTTCGCCTTCGTCAAGCCAATTTCCAGGAAGACTTACGGAAGGTGGCGTAGAATTACCCAGGCGTTCCCATGATCTACATCCCCGGCATGTGTCACAGATTTCTTTGATCATATTTAATCGAACGCTATCCAGTCCCACTTTATCTAGGATCAGCCTCATCTTGGGTTCCTTTGCATGATACCACCGTAAATGCAGTTTGCGGAGTTCCTTTCTGACTACGTGAGGTTCGTGACTACGGACGTCTTACAGACTGTGTTGGATGTCAAATCTCGCCCAGTCGGGCAGTCGTGGAGCCCCCGGGCCGGTTGAGGCAAGAGGGTTCCTCGTAGCTCTCCGCAGTCGGTCTCCTTCATCAACTGCATCTGGTGGTGGAGGTACGCATTGTAGGCGACCCCTGCGGGCCGCCACTTGCGGCGGCTCGCCCGAAGACGCGGAGGGCGTGTTTCCACGCTCAGGCGCGTCTCGCAGTATGTCGTAACTGCTGGCGCCAGATGTAGGATCAGCGTT